GCATCGATGGCTTGGCGGCGGTAGCTCCAGACCACGTGGAACTCGGGGTTGAGCAGCAACAGGTGGCTGGTCAGCGGCAGCACGCTCGGCTCGTACAGCTGCTGGCGCTTCATGTCGAGGACTTTGCCAGCCACCTCATGGTACATGCGCACCTTGGAGAGCTCCTCCTGACGCTGTTCATCCGTCTTCTGCTTCTCCTTCTCGCGTTCGACGCTCTTGACGCGGCCGTGCATCGCGTTCTCAAAAGTATTTTTTTTTTTTTGTTGCAAAAATAAAACGTTTTAGCATAGAGATGCTCTTTAAGTGTACATCGAAGTATCTTACACGCTATCATCATTTTTCATGACTCGAAATTCGTTAAACATTTCGAAAAATTGCCGTTGGATGACATTTAGCCCAAAAACCCATTATTTCCAACGTCAATTTTGAACCGCTTTGCATACGGCAATGTGTGATACCGGTATCAACTGAGGAAACTGGTATCGAAAGGTATGCATTATCGTAAGCAAGAGCTCGTTGATGCGTTCTACCGATTACTGTCTCCTCCGCTGGCGAACGGTAGAGCTTCCTGAACAATTTGCTGCGTAAACTCTTTGGATGCAACGTGCATCATGCAAAATGTATACCATACGCGATAGAGCCATCGTCGTGCCACGCAGCAATGTGCGAGCATCGTTCATACAAATCCGCGACGAACCTCGGTCAAGAGACATTTTCGCAAATGTCACTTTCTCCGCCAATCACAGCGCGTTAAAGCTGAAAATCTAAGCGAAAAACAGCCATAAACGTCAGTCAAAGCGACTGTTGCGTCATTTGCAGATTCTCTTCGGACGCAATGGGCTCAAGCTGCACTCTCGTGGCCGACCGCACGGATGACGCCGTGCAAATGCTGCTCGGCTTCATCGCGCTGTCGTCGCTGTACGCCAAGTGGCATTTCGAGCAGCCACGTCGGCCAGCCAAGGTCTGGTTCATGGACGCCATGAAGCAGGGCACGTCTGCCGCTATGATCCACGTAATGAATATCCTGTACGCCATCGGCCTCGTCGACTTTTCCGACACTCCCAGCGACCAGGACCAGGTGCGTTAGGCACTGCTTAACTGCATACGAATTGTATACCTTAACAACCCTGTTCGTAGTGCGCCTTCTACTTCATGAACGTCGTGATCGACACCACACTCGGTGTGTATATCGCGTATTTATTGCTGCAACTGTCCACTCTCGTTGCAGTGCGACAGCAGTGGACTAGTCTACGTTGCCACGGCTACTACGGCTCGCCGCCATCGTGGCGCGTCTGGTGGATGCAGCTGTTGCAATGGTGCACCATCCTGATTGTCATGAAGTTTTTCGTTGGTGTGGTGCTCTACGCCTTCTCGACGCCGCTGGGGTGGATGGGTTCACTACTGTTCTACCCCGTACACAATCACCCCAAGATCGAGTTGCTTATCGTCATGATCGGCTGTCCGCTGGTCATGAACATGGTGCAATTCTGGATCCAGGACAGCTTTTTGATGGACCACGAGCAGCAGAACAGCGAGGAAATGCCGCTGCTGGACCCGTCGACATCGGAGAAGCAACGCGGCCTGTCGAGTGTCTCCAGCGCAGCCGATATGTACGAGATTCTGTAGTTGCGTCGTGCGTTTACATGAAGTCTGCGTGGAACCTGCAAGTATTAACGAATCTTTGGTGTCTGTGTGTAGGCGAACGCACCCCCGAGATGTCATCGTGCGCATCGGATGAGCTCATAACGATAGCGCGGAGAAAGCGAGCGTTAGCGTTGGGTAATTCTTCATATATATCAACATGTCTTGCCAGCACGTCGTGGAGTACAATGCAGTGAGTATGGTCGCGTCATCGCCGTCGAGCTCGTCGTCCATCTCCAGTTTCATCGACAGCAGCTCGGTGTCATCGAATTGCACGGTACTGAGACTTCCGCAAGTGGTACAGCCCGATACCACAGTCTCTAGAAGCTCACAGCGATTGGTAGTGCTCGAGTTGGTCTTGCAAGGACTGGATGAGCTGCTGCGAGCGCTGACGTAGACGAGTGGCTGAAATGCGTTTTTTTTTCTTTCTTTAAGCGCCTCAAGTCGTTGGCACTTAGCTTTGCTCTCACCCAAGGAGGTAGTTTAATAGGCTCGCGTTTCCTACGCTTGCGGATATCGTTCTCGCCCTTCGACGGGAAGATAATCGGTGCCACAGTCATCGTGGACTCGGTTCTTAACGGAGAAGCAGGCGCAGACGCATGAGATGGCGCCATTTCGACCACGTTTAAGTCGCCGCCGCCTCGGATTTAGCAGCCATAGTCGGTGTCACGCAATTGATCTTCCGCGTTGACGTAACGAGCGAGGCTTTTCATCTGGCTTAGAGACAACCTCTAGCACACAGCGGCTAGCAGTGCAGCGTTCTGTGCGCTCTCCAGTGTTGCGGAGAATGGTGAGGGCCTTGGCAGCGTCCATACCCGTGTTAGTGAGGCACGACTGGTTTATTATTATGTTCAATATAGATTTTTTTTTT